AACTACTTTATTCCTGAGTTCTTGTGTGCTTGAGTGCATGTTACAGTGTCTTTGCATGTTTAAATCCCCAAATAAATCACAGACTCATTGAGAAGCCTTGTCGCTATCAGTCTATTCCCTAGCCACCTCCGTAAACATAGGATAAAAGATTCCATTGGAGACTTGAACTCTTAGCAGTTCCCCAAGTTCAATTTTTTTCTTACACATCTTAGATAGCCAGTGTTTTGAGTATTGGACAAACTCTGGGAGGCCAGGGTTGGTATCCTTGCTCAGCCATGGAAACCCACTGGATTATACCCTCTCAGTATGAGAGGAAGGCAGTAGCAAACTGTTGGAAGAATTATGCATTGCATTCTCCTGTCTCTCCTTAGATAGATAGGGACTCCCTCCCTCTTTCTCGTTCTGTCTAAGCATGTGGCTCCTGTCACTCTCGGAAGCAGTTTAACAGCTCTCTCTAAAGAATCTAAACTGCTTCAAGCAGTCAGTTGTAACTTCTTCCTGCTATTTAAAGATGATGAGATTTATCTCTTTACCCAAACCATCTCCAGTTAATTAGGTTTTAGTTACTACTGTTTGTTTTTAAACTACAAATTGCATGTTTGTTTCTTTGAGTTAATCTTTATTTTTAAGAAAGCCATTGGGCCTAAAATAACAAGAAGAGCCCTCCCTCCATTACCATCCGATGTCATCTGGGAGAGAGACACTAGCCCAGCACCATCCTGCGTAGAATAAGAAGAACCCTTACTTCTTAAAGGATGGGTGGGATTCGGGATTTTATGTTCTGTTTAATATATCTGTATGGAAATTGTAATGTTGTAAGCCGCCCCGATTGCTCTGCAGAGGGGCGGGATATAAATTATTACTATTATTATTATTATTATTATTATTATTATTATTAAAATATAGTCTGACCCACACTTCTGCTGTACTGCTAGTGAAAGCTAGACTCTTAACATCTTTAACTTTCATACTTGCACATATTTTGTTTCCTTTAAAAGGGTTAACACCCTGGGAAACCAAAATTGCACCCCACATAAATCCCCAGTGAACAAATTTTGCCAGGAAAACCCCATGATAGGTTTGCTTTATGGTCACTATAAATTGGAAATAACTTGAAGGACAAAGCAGTTTCTTTAGCTTACATTAGTGCCCTTTTTCTGTCCCACCACCTCCATTTCCTATCTGTGAAATAGGAATAATAACCATCTACCTCTTTTGAGATTGAATATAATGGCATGTTAATCTACCTGTACCATACAAGACCATGAATTATATTCATTTAGAATATTCAGAATATGCCAAAACGTTGGCAGTGAGGCAAAAATTCATTAAACTGAATACAGTTGGAACAAGTCTAACAGAATTAGCTTCCTGTACTCTGGAGGTAAGCAATTCCAGTCTAGCAGCACAGCAGAAACAATATGAGATGGAATTGGATAACATTTGAATTGCTTCATCAAGCTTTGATAGAAGGGAGCCAAAGTCAATTTGCCGAGTAAAATCTATTTTTTACAAATGGTAATCCAAGACTCCGATTGCAGGTTTGCTCGAGGCACCGATGCTCTATGAGGCTTTCTCATCTATACCACATTATAGCAGCCACTGAGGGACTAGGAAAGGTCAGCTGAACAGGGCAGCTGAAAAGTTAGAACTGCCTTTTGGGGAAAAAAGACTAATGCATTTGAGCTTCCTTTGTGAGCAGGAATGATGAAGCTTATAGAAGTATGATAGAAGTTAATAAAAATTAATGGTGTGGAGAGAGGGTGCCATAATCCCCCGCCCTTGGTTTGTTATTCTAGAACTTGGGTCATGCGATGAAATTGTTTGTTAAAAGGTTCAGGATCACCAGTCTTTGTACAACATTAATCAGCTCTTTGGAGAAACCACCACCCGAAGGCATTTCTTCTTCCTCTGCTGTCAGATCCGCTGTCATCAAGGACTGCATCTGCGCTGCAGAAATAATCCAGCTTGACATAATTTTAACTGCCGTGGCTCAGTGCTATGAAATTCTGGGAATTGTAAAGCTCAGATGCCATAAACAAGATATAATTCCTAGAATCTCATAGCACTGAGCCATGGCAGGTAAAGTGGTATCAAACTGGATTATTTCTGCAGTGCGAATGCAACCAAGCTTCAACAGAGAGAGAGAGGAAGCATAAGCTCCTTCCATACTAGCTGGTCATTAAAAGTACTTTGGAGTTGTAGACTAGAAATTTTACTTGCTTCCTACCCCCCTTTCTCCCAATCACTCATTTCTTTTGTGTTATGCAACTCTTGGCCTTTGTAAGCTCCTCTGAGATCTTTCTTTTCTTTTCTTTTCTTTTGCAGAATAGTACTAATAAGTTTATCAGTGATTTACAACACCCCTTAAACGTGGCAGTGTTGAAAAATGACAAAACAAAATAGACTTTGCCTACAGATTTATACTTTGATGAACACAATACAAGATTAATGGGGAGAAAAGAGGGGCACCAATCAGATTCAGACTTCAGTTCTTAAAAGTGGGGCATGAGTACCACACGACACTGTTGTAGCACTATTATTCCACTTTTATTGCTATGACTGCCTGCTGTGGAATTCTGGGCTTTGTAGTTTATTAAGGCCAAAGAGCTCTGTGGCTGAGAATGCTAAATCCCCCTCCCTAAACTGCAAATTCCAGGATTCAACAGGAGGCAATCATAGATGTTAAAGTTGAATAATAGTGCTACAACAGTGTGACATATTGGTTTGAGTGTTGAACTATGACTCTAGAGACCAGAGTTCTCCCTCAACCATGAAACCCACTGAATGACTTTGGGCATGTCACACATTCTCCACCTCAGGGGAAAGCAATGGTAAATCTCCTTTGAACAAATCTTGTCAACAAAAACCCACTATAGGTTTGTCTTAGGGTCTCCATAAGTCAGAAACTACTTGAAGGCACATAACAGTGTAGTGAGGCATTCTAATTATTCTTACAATGACCAGTTGGTAATGAGTTGGTTCAATGAGAAGCAAAGCCAAAGCGTGGCTGGTCTTTTAGCCAAGGTTATGGAGTTGAATACTAAATGCAAGAGAAACATCAACAGATCGCCACTATTTTAGATGAAATTTTCAAAGTCTTGATAGTTCAGAAAGAATATCATTGTTTTTTTTAAATGCAGAAGTAGCTGTGTTGACCATAAGATAAAATCCAAATGCATGTTGTGGTGATACTTTCATTAGGCTAGCTGAAAGGTGTAGAATACATTCCCCTAGTTGCCAAAGTGCTTTGGAGTTTCCATCAGATGGTGAAATAAGATGGGATGTAAAAGTGACAGTGATAGAGACTCAGGTCTTGAGGTGTTTGCTTAAAATGGTGGTCTGCAGATAGAAAGGCTAGATCACTAGCTGCTGAACAGGGACTCCTAACCTTAAAAGAATAGACTGTTTCTGAGACTTTATTTACTGAGGGTTCCCTCCGACTAAAGTTAAAACAAATCCTACTTTGGCTCTTATTGACATTCTTCGCCTGTTACTACACCTAAATTTATCTCCAGACCTAACAGTACAGAAGCTTCTTAAGAAACTCACTATACCCTGTCCACAAAGTGGCCTATGGCTTCACCCAGAACAAAAAGAGATTCAGGGCCTTTTCATCCTTCGCAATTATAGCACTATGATGCCACTTGAATTTCCATGGCTGCATCTGACCGTTGGGATCCTGGGGTCTGTAAGTTAGTGAATCACTCACACTCTCTGGCTGAGAATTGCATGTACTCCTCACAGTGCAAATCCCAGGATTTCCTAGGATTTTGCCATAGGATTTGAAATAGAATCATAGTGTTATAGCTGTGTAGTGTGAGAGGGGACCAAGTTCTTAAAATAAAATGCTTTCTCACTGCAGGTGGAGAAGGAAGTGTTTCTTGCACTTCTTTTGCAGTTCTCAGTGATCTCACAGCCATAAGTGTGTGGACTAAACTTTCTGTCTGTATGACCCTCCCTCAAGACCATATTAAGCACATATCACCACCCATTCACTATAATGGGGCTTCAGCATGTGCATATTTTCTCATCTGCAGTGGGGAGAGGACTAAATCCTCATAGATAGGAAGAGTACACTGTATTCAAATTTCTGTCTATAGCATGGGTGGGACTCATGTGACATTCTAGATGTTGTTGGACTGCAACTACCAACAGCTTTAGCCAGTTGTGAGGAATTCTGGGAGCTGCATTCTAACAGCAACCAGAAACCTACATGATTCCCACCCCTGGTCTCTAGCTGTAATTGCTGAAAAGAACATTCCATTGGACAATGTGGCTGGTTAGAAACTTAGTATGATAGATTTTCAAGAGACCACAAGGGCCATCCAGTCCAACCCCCTGCCATTCAGGACCTCACAATCAAAGCGTCCCCAACAGATAGCCATCCAGCCTCTGTTTAAAGATCTCTGAAGAAGAAGACTTCACCACACTCTGAGGCAGCATATTCCACTGTCGAACAGCTCTGACAATAGTTAGCTGAATATAACAGCTGAATGCGGGTTGGCCATCTCTTTCATGCTC